AAAAACAAAAAAAAAAAAAAAAAAAAAAAAAAAAAAAAAAAATAAAAAAAATAATAAAAAAATAATAAAAAAATAATAAAAAAATAAAAAATAAAAAATAAAATAAAAAAAAGGTCTTAAGATTACCAGTACACAATATTTAAGGTTATGCAATGATATTATGAGAAGCTATATAAAGCCAATTGCGAATATTGAAGATTGATTAAAACATGTCTACAAAACGTAAAAGTTATAAAGTTAAACAAAAGCTTGAAATTATTTCAAAAGCAAAAAAAACGTTTAATAAAGCAGCAGCGTGAATATTCGGTATTGATCATTCTCAAATATTCAGGTGGTGAAACAAAAAAAAAAGGTAGAAGAAGCTGTGCATTTATGTAGAAGTGTCAGTTCTGGAAGGAAAGCTGTATATCCTCTTGCAGAGGAGGCGTTAAATAAATGGGTTGTTCAATTACGACAAGATGGTTTTGCAGTAACATTGTCTATAATAAAGTTTAAAATAAAAGAGCTTCTTAAAACTAGGTTTCAACAAGATTACTCTAATGCTTTAGAAACTTTCGAAGCTTCAAATTCTTGGTGCTAAGGATTTATAAACTGATATAACCTTGTGCTTCGACGCCATACTAAAGTTAGGCAAAAACTTTCTCATGAATTATCTGAACAATTAGATCAGTTTTATGAATTTATCAAAAAGTCGCAACATATAAATAACTATAAGTTATCCTATATAGCAAATATAGATGAAATGCTTATTTACTTTGATATGGTTGGCAATCTTACTGTAGATTACTATTTAGCAAAAACAGTTCAAATAAGAACTACAGGTAGGATTAGGCAAACTTTGTATATAATAGTTATATTCTGTGTAGTTGAGTATAATTGGCTGCATAAGTAGCCAATTATACTCACTGCAAAATTCCCTTTATACCCAACTACACAGGATATATTATAGTTTAACTTATACTAAGACACTTATTGTAACTACATGTAACTCATATAAGAAATTTTAAACTTACAAAAAATTCTCAACCCTAACTATAAGCAATGAAAAAAACTGGTTCATGTGTGTTTTTGCAATCTTGGCTGATGGAGTTAAACTATCCCCATGATAATTTTCAAAGGCAAAAGACTTCCCCGAGGTCTGTTTTGCTTGGATATCGTTATTAAAATGCAAGAAAATGTATGAATAGACGAAACTTTAATGAATAAATGGTTAGATGAAATTTGGAAAAAAAGGATTTCAACTTGTGAACAAAAATGTAGCTTATTAGTGATGGATTCTTTTGAAGAACATCTTACTGACTCTGTTAAAGCAAAATATAATGAAATAAACACAGTTAGAGACATAATCCCTGGTGAACTTACTTCGTTAGTTCAGCTGCTTGATGTGTGTATCAACAAACCATTCAAGAACCGAATGCGAGAAAAATGGCAAAACTAGATAGTACTTGGTGGTTTTGATTTTATGAAAGGAGTAAATTTAAAAAAACCTCCATATAATCTTATTTGTCAATGGATAGTTGAGGCATAGGCTGATATTTCAGCTGATATGGTCATTAATTCATTTAAAAAATGTAGTATTCCTCACAGTATTGAAACAGAATCAGTGTTTGGCAAGACACTATACTAACCAGGTTGCCAAACGAGTAACTAGAGGAAAGGATCCAACTGTGGGGACCAGGAGCAGATCATAGCCTCTCTGAACTATCTGAATTAAGAGTGTAGGTTACTGACAGAACTTAGGTATCAGTGATAATCTGTAAAGTGTGTGTTGTGGTTTGGATAAACTCTGTAAAGGCAAAAGTAAATAACAGTAGTAGCTTTAGTTTGCAAGTACTTGTCCTCAGACTCAGTATAAGTTACTGAAGTCTAGATTAACCAGATTGTAAGCATGAAAAGCTCTAGCTAATAATGCTTTAAGGATAAATTAGTTCTAAGAGTATTGTTATAGTATTGTGGTCTTCTTAACAGCAGTACTATTACAATGATATAGCTACAAAAAAATCCTTTACAGGTTTATAGCAGTGTCTAACAGATAAGTATAATTTCTACTTTTTGGAGAAACTATACCCTTCTGTCTGTGACAGTTCGGGCAGACAATAGTTTATAGATAAAATATATGTTTATTAAAGATAAATAAGATA